CGCGCTGTGGGCAACGGTGCTTGAAGTCGAAGTCCCCATGCATATCGTTGACGTAGGAGAGAAGGTACCGTGGTTACCACTTCAGAGCGAAAGGATGCTGCGGATTCACGGCAAAGCGAGAAGACATCCCCCGAGCAGAATGTCTTCCGCATCAGTATGGCAAACAGGGACGGACAAATCACATGTGCGCGGGAGGGAAAATGATCCGCTGGGATAACAACCCACGAAGACAAAGAAGCCACAGTGCGCTGCAACGATGTCGATGACCAATAAGCCCGATCTTGGAGGTTAGTTCGATGAGTGTCCATTAACTGAGTCAAAACCGGCTGGAGATCTGAAAGGAGACTGGAACCATGTACATGCCAACGGCGAGCAAGTTTGCGAAGTTGCGTGGTGAAACGTTGATGCAATAAGTCGACATCACCGAAATACTGATCCTTCATTGAGGCGGCCATGATTTCAGTGTCAATGTCCGCATTGATGCGAGAAAACTCATCCACCATTACAGCGTGACCATGTGCACGGTGTATATGGTGATCATCGATGTCCAAACAGCGACACGGAAAGGATGTTTCAGGAGTCCATCTGCGCTGCCATGTGCGGTAGTTGTATATCTTGTCGCCCAATGTGGCGCTGCGAGTTTCCACCACCCGGATCTTTGGAATGAAAAGAGAAGGGAACAGATCCCGATGAGAAGCAATCCAGCTTTGTAGCCATGTGCCAAGTAGAGCTTTCCAATTCCGGACATGCAGCGGCGGTAAGAGTAGCTGTGTCAAAGTGGTGGGTGGTTGTAGCCGTCGTTTGCGCAGCACCTGGGCGAGGAGTTTCTGCGCCTTGGAGCGGAAGGGCTCGTTGACAAAGACTGCGAGCCGCAATAAGTAGTACAGCTGAGTGGGAGGGAAAGCCGCCGACAGCAGGTCACGCATGACTTGGAACGATGCTCCTGTATTCGATCCCAGCTGATAGAGAATAGAGTAATGGGCTTGAATGTCATCCAGGATGTCAGGTCGTAGTTGCCGTTGGAGATCCGGATGTAGTCGTCGTCGAAAGCGCTTGTGCAAGCTGAGGGAAGTGGGAGACGACAACGAGTGACGTCGAAAATCCACGAGATGTTCCCGGAAGCCCACCTTGCGCAAGATTCTGTGTACCCAGGGCGCATTCAAATGCGGGCGTAGCAGTATTGCCATTTGCTTTCTTGAACCCACACCGAGGAAACAGGAAGTTTGATTTCCACCGGAACAGCACAGAAGAGCCAGTAAGTATTGGATCTCTTCCAGTAGTGAAGCGCTGGTTCGAAGAAGGCATGCCGTCCACGAAGTAGTTGTAGAAATTTGCGACTGCGTGAGTGTTCACGACGTAGAACATCCTGATCAGTCGCCCCAACATAGTAGGGTGTGTGCCATGGGGAAAGTCGAATGTAGACGCACGGTTGTTGATGATGACCTGGATCGTGTATGAAGTCATAGAGGTCAGGAAATCGCGCCCGCAATGAGCGTAGATGTCGCGTGTCAGCAAAAGTAGAGTGCATGATTTCACACAAGAGAGAAGTCTTGTAGAAGTGAAGGACTTCAAAGAACGGCGGGAAGTAGCCGTGATCTTGTGAAATGAGACGTTGTAAGAAACTAATCAATAAATAGGCAGTGCACCGACATCTGTGAAGCTCATACCTGTTGGCCACGGTGTGCTGAGAGTGTGACATAGCGTGATTCGGAATCTGAAGGGCTATCCGGACCACAACTAAGACTTCGAGGATGAGACCCAGCCACGGCAATTGTGTGATTGATTCGTACTCCTCAGTTGGAATCGACGGTGGTGGTAGTCCAGGAAAACAGTACTGCCAGCACGTAGAGAACATGGTCAACGAGTGTAGAAGGTCGTCCAGCGACTGCCATTGTGCAACATCATCATAGATTCCGCAGCGGCGAAGTTCATCCAACATGGTGAGATACAACCAATGAAATCTACCACAAGGCGGCGACATGAATACAAGCATCACAGACAATCACACAAAAGGCAATGCAAGAACGAGCAAGTACAAGATCAAACTGGTGCAACGCAGAAAATTGACGGACGAGTTTTCACCTGGACTCATCCGTGACATTGTTGCCGCTCCGGGCTCATAAGAGAACGAAGGTCATCATGATGCCTTCTCATCCACAGAGTAGGCGAGCGGTCACGATGAGGTGACTCAATGCCTTCTCAGTGAGTTTGGTAAGATAGCCGGGCTCTAGTCCCCACGAAGCCGCCATCGCCCCGAGAGTGGGTGCGTCGCCTTTCGGCATGCGTTGCCGCGCCTGAAGGAGCTGCGTCGCCATAGAATCTAATGACTTGTTGCCGTTGAGCCGGGACGGGTGATTGGCCCACTTAACCAGCGATGCCAAAGTAGTGGTTGTGGGTGATTGCTTGAGATAAAGGCGAGGTTGGTCACTGGTCCATGTGTAGTACTTGACAACTTCATCCGGCGTGCTGTGCATGGTGAGCAATTGTGACGCCGCCGGTTTGGACGGCGGTGACGACACTCCGTGAAGAGACTGAATGATCCGAGGTTGCACCGCGCTATCAAACGACTTGCCATCCAGGGCCGCTGCGCTGGCTGTAGGAAGGGAGCTGGCAGGTGACGAGGATGGTGTGTGGTTGACCGGTGGCGGTGTAACCAACTCTGCATCATCCTTCTGGTTTGTCATCGTGGGAGAGGTCGAAGCTCGAAGCGATGCGGAATACTGAGCTTGAAGAAGTTCGTGCGCACGATTTAGATCATTGTACTTTTTGACCATGTCATCTGTCTGAGTGGCAGGTGCGAGAGAGGTGTGATGTTGCTGCAGAAATTGAAGTACCAAGCTGGCCAAATGGTCGTGGACCTTGATGCGCTGATTGAAGTCATCGATGTTGAGACCCAGCGTGTTGGCAAGGTCCTTTTCCAGGGTGAGCAGGTTGAGTGACTGTGATCTTTGTAGTAGTTTGGAACAGGTACTCCAAGGTAAGGCCTCGGTGCGAGTGCGAAAGCCTTCCCACGTCACGAATCTACCGTGAGCAAACGGCCTGAGTAGCCAGTTGGTGAGGCCCCCGTGGATAACCTGAACCAGGCGTACGTCCCTAATATCCATGCCTGACATGTCGCGAAGGTTGCCATGCGGAGTGTTGGCAACAGTCATGGGCAGGCTGAAGTTGTAGAGCTGATTGACATCAAACATGCCATCTCCAGGTGTCCAGTCGGGCGAGGGTGTAAGCCAGGCTTTCTGAGGACGAACCGGTAGAGCTGCAGGAGGTCCAGGTGGCGGTGTAGGTTGGGAAGTAGTGACCGGTGGTGGCATCACGGGTGGCATGAACTTGGTTGGCGTGGGGTCTGGAGGGATCGGCATCATGTAGTTGATCGCTGGGTGTTGGAATTGTTGTGCGGGATTGTGAGTCGATTGAAAGTTGGTAGGTATCATCGGAAAGTTGTTGGCAGCGTTGTAGCCGGAATTGTGTTGCCATGAAACCAGGTTGTTCCAATCCATGTTCTCCGAGACCTGGTTGTCATTGTGTTCACGTCGGAGTGCTTTGCGAGCTTGAGGGGAAGGACTCCGATCACGTCTGCGCCGAGTCCTAGATCTATCTCGATCTTCACGTCGAGACATGATGGCACAACAAATGCAACACCGCAACTCAACACTCTTGAGAGGAACAAGTCCGATAAATGCAAGTCCATGCAAGTTCAAGCCAGCAGCCAACGGTAGACCGAGTGAGACGTCGCTATGATCTGACGGCTTTCTTCCCTTTAGTGAAACCTCGTTCCTGGTTAAATGTGAAATTCCGCTGTTCTATGATAAGCACGTTGAGGTCAAATTTTCCGACAGAGCCGGCCCGGGGTCACACAATGGGTACACCCGAGGATTCCCCACGAATGGGGTGTACACACTTGAACTCCAGATGGAGAGTGCTAATCTTTCGAGTACAACTGATGAGTCTCGAGTACAACTGACAAGTCTCGAGTAGGATAAGTTTCGACTCGCGAAGCACTCGGTTTCCCTCTAGAGGCGAAAACGTTACCAGAAAGAACAAGAAGCACAAACAGCGCCGCAACCAAGGGGCCAAAAGGACATTCAGCAACATCACTTTACACATGCAGGTACGCTGGGATGATCAGTCCCAGTATCACCACCGATGGCAAGTGTCTTCGTTGGCAGGAGACTTGCCATGGTGCTCCTGCCCCCTGCTGCAACGGAAAAAGGTTTTGGTGGCAGGGTTTTCTGCCACTCCGCACACACACACACACACACGTGTTTGCGTGTTTGCGTGTTGCGTGTTTGCGTGTGTGCATTTGCCTGCTTGCCTGTTTTCGTGGTTGCGTATTTGTGTGTTTGTGTGTTTGTGTTTCTGTGTGTGTGTGTGTGTTGCTTTGTGTTGCTTTGTGATGTTGTGTGTTGTTTTGTGTTGTTTTGTGTTGTGTGTGTGTGTTGTTTGTGTTGTTTGCGTGTTTGTGTACTTGTGTTTGTTGTTTGTGTTTGCGTGTTCGCGTGTTTGTGGGCTTGTATGTTTGTGTGATGGTGTGTTTGTGTGTGTGTGTGTTGTGTGTGTGTATGTTTGCTTGTTTGTGTTTGTCCTTGGCAGGAAAGTGCCAGGAAAGTGAACGGCACAAACAGCTTGAGCATGAACTCGTGTCCACGAAGTAGCTTCTTGTGCCTGTCACCATTTGTCATTAAACATCGGAAGTCGCGTGGCGTCTGACCGAAAGCATACTAATGGTTCAAGCCTCTGTCAAAGCGAGAACAGTGCGGCAACGGGACATTATCCGCCTGATGGGCTCTGACATTCTGATGGAGTCTCATGAAAAATCGGACAGTGCTCACAATGTCAGCAATGATATGTATCAGTCGATTGCGAAAGCTCCAACTCATCTTTTTGAAGCCTCTCACACTTATTACTTCACAGCCCTGTCGGATGTTTCAGCCGACATCTAAACTCGCAAGTGTCGACTCATCAAGCTGGAAAATCCCACATCGCCCGATCTCCGCAGTTCTTCAAAATCCGCAGTTTGCCAGAACCTCGGGCGAGAGCTGCCAAGAGACACCGGCTTTACCCCCAAAAGTGTCCTCCTACTGCAGCCGGAGAAGCCAGAAGTAAGGCAAAGAGTGTCGCAGGAGACTGCACCCCAGAGTGAGTCTGGGATTCTCGAACCTGGCCAGACACATGAAGCCAATGCAATGGGGGTGGATGGATTGAAGCAAATGGGTTGTAGGTTGCTGCACACACACACACACACATTGACATGATGAGTGATGCAACCTGCCTGTTACAAAGCCCAAAGGCCCACAATTGTCACAAACCAAGCCGAGACACTGGCTTCCCAGAGATCTTGGAGATTGCCTGGGTCTCGCTGGGCCCCATCTGCACGCTGTACTTGGCATTGTTCCGAATCAAAGCCCTCTCGTTTGTCTCTTCCACCTGCAAGGGCCCGACCGGATTGTGTAGATTGCGCAAACAGACAGTTGCAAATCTTAGAAACGCTCCACTTGCGAAGATCAAGGGCGCAGGGTTGTAATAGAAATCGCAAATGCGCAAGGTCCAAAGAAAGCCTACGCGAATGCATACGCAAAGCCGACGCGGAGCCCGCGCGAAGATTGTACAAACAAACGCAGGCATGCGAGAAACGTGAAAACGAATTTACTTGACAAACCGCCCCGAACCACGTTTCGTTCACGAAACACAAGATGCCTACGCGAGCACCTACGCGAGGGGTGAATTGATAGCCTAAGCAAAACGCCTACGCGAGCCCACGTCCCCAACCAGGACTGCGTCCGCAAACTGCATGCAGCTCCCCTTTTATTTTATGCCCTGTTTGGTCAAAAGTCGCTGCTCATCTGTGGAGGGGATCTATAAAATCCCCCCTGACAGATTTGCTGGATAGATTTGCACAATCACAGTGGGATAAGCCAGTTGCAAAACCAAAAAAATGCTCCAGTCTCAGGCCTCTTCTGGATCCAAGTTATCAACGGCATCCATGACTTCATCCACGGTCTTGTTATTGAGTGCCGGCACGATCTCAAAAGTAAGGTTCACTGCGCCTCAGCTCAATCATCCTTTGCATACACGAAACGTTTCCACTCGACTCTCCTCTGTTATGAGACTTCAGGTCTCAAGGTGACTCAAGGTGCAATATACAGAACCAACGAATCAGGGTGCAGCCCAGGGCTCCCTTGGGAGACTGCCGCCGCACCTTGGCTCGCCTCGCGCCCAGCGACAGCAGGGACGCCTGCCCCTCCTGCCAAACACACCTGAATGGTAAATACTTGATTCCCCTTGCCATCCCCTTCACGATTGGATAGCGATGGTGATGACGATGATGACGATGATGATGATGATGATGATGATGATGATGATGATGATGATAGTGATGATGACGTTCAAAGTAGGTTTGCTCCGCTGGAAGCACCGGCCCCCTCTCCTGAGACTCCACTTTGGCTCCCTTAATGATGACGGCGTCCATGGACACCCCGACCTGCAAGGAGAGGTCTGGAACAAGCTGCTGGCACTACCAAGGCCTTGGGAGGTCTTCCCTACCCCAACTGTGGTGGAAACCAGCCGACTCCTTTTGAGACAGTGCCCGCCCCAACATCAACTCAAAAGCAAGCGCCCGTTTCATGTGGGGATGTCATGGGATGTCACCAGCGCCTCCTGTGCAATGGCTTCCTTGAGGGCCTTGAGCGCCGAGGGGTCCTTCGCGAAGGTATCCGGATCGTTCACTTCCTGGGTTCAACCAAACCGGACAGTCACACATCACGGGAATGAAGTTTCGGGCTGGCTCTAGTTTTCGTGGTTCTCTGATCATTCCGCGTCCGGTGCAAATGGCAACATCTAATTGTTTGATGGAGGTTGATTAAATGGTGACACGCTGGGTCCCAAACGAAAAGCTGTGCAAACAAAAAAGGAGACGAAAACAAGATCGAAATGAAGAATATATATAATATAACACGCTCGACTGCTCGGGGGTTCTTTTCCGATACTCTCCGCCAAAGGTCCATGACCTGCGACCCGCGCACCGAGACCGGCGCTGCGGCCGCCACCGCCGTGGCCGCAGCGTCCGCCGTGAGGCCCACGGTGGTCACTGCGATGTCCGGCGCCGTGGTGGTGCCTCGAGCAGAAATCACGTCGGGTCGAACTCGAGTCGAACTCGAGTCGAACTCGAGGCTCGGATTTACGGAAGGAACGGTACATGCTTGCTGCATCCAGGGCACTGGGCGGGGCTGTGGTAGTCACTGTAGTGGAAGTGGCAGTCTCCGTGCTGGTCACAGTGGTGCTGGTATTGGTTATAGTTGTGCTGGTGATGGTGCTGGTAAAAGTGACCGTGGTGGTAGTCGAAGTCACTGGCTGACCGTTTTCGTCGCACTCGATGATCTTTGCATCCTTGGGTGTGAACCAATGTGCTCAAAATCCTCAGGTTACACGCCCCAAAACACCGCACTGTGCGCACAAGCAGCGGGGACAGTGCAGTCTTCTTCCTGGCTAGCATTGCCATCGCAGGGCTTGCCGCCATAGCGCGCGGACTGCTTCGTCCTGACTCTGCGCTCTATGCAAGACCCTCTGAAGCACACGATAGCAATGCAGCAACTGGTGGATGTAATAGGGATGCAGCTGCTTATCTCACAAACAGCGAGTTGCAGTGCCTCGAGCGGAGCTTCTTGGAGGGTCCGCAGGGCATCACCTCGCAGGGTCCCCAGTCCTGGCGCGAAGACACGGGCCCGAAACGGGCTGGTAGATACCAAGTCCAGAGACAGTCGTTGAAGGCACGTCTCCTTCCAGTCGTTGAAGGCGCAATCCACTGGGCACTCGCTGCCGGTCTGGCAGAACTCGTCTTCCTGTCCGGCAGGCGGAGGCCACAAGATCCGAAGAAAATCGAGGCCCTGTCCCGCCTGCGGCGGACCCGCGCAGGGGATTCCGTGGGGGCCCTTTGCCTCGTCGGCCACGAAGCGGAACCTGGCACACCGGACCGTTCGCCAAGGTGCCAGCGCAAAGCCGGCCCTGGCCCGGCCTGACTCGGCCACCCTCGCCGCAGGTGGCGGAGCAAGCTGTCCACTCGTTCCAATCCTCCCAGGTGCAGTTCACCGAGCAGCCACCCAGCACCGTGCAGGCCGACACCTGACGTGGTCTTTGTTTGGACAGACCCCAAATCACAGCCGAAGCAATGGCTTCCCCCTTCAGGGCTCTGTGTTTCTCTTGGGCGGACCTCTGTGGACTCGCCCACGCAGGGCTCGCCCTCGAACTTGGCGGCAGTGCTGTTGCGGGAGCGCTGGCGCGTGCCGTTGCCACCGCAGGGCTGGATGCACTCCGTCCAGGCCGTCCAGTCCTCAAGACGCACTGAAATTGGCCAAATTGGCCAAACACACCTCCCTCCTGCGATCTGCGAATGGGCTTTTGCGTGGGTCGCTGGCTCTTGCTTCACAGTATGATCCTTTTGTCAGCAAATTGGGGGGGGGGGGTGGAGTCCGAAAGAGTCCGGAAGGACTGTCCTTCCACTCGCAGTCCACCGGGCAGTGCTGCTCGTTGCAGCGTGTGGTGTGCACAGCATGGCCCTCGCAGGCCGCCCCCCCAAAAGCGGCGGTCACGGCCTGCACGCGGTGCCGCGAAGTGGCGCCCGCCAGCAGCCCCAGGCCGCAGGTCTTGCTGCAGTTCCTCGGTTGCCCGGGCAAAATTCCAGGCTTCTCTGTCAGAGACCCGCAAACGACTCAAACCGAATTCATGCCACGTGCGCTTCGCCCGAGGTGCGACCAGCCGCCCCAGTCGCCCCACTGGCAGTTCCTGGGGCAGCCAGAGGTGCCGCACTCCACGGACTGATGCAGCGGCACTGCGGGGTCGCATGGGGCGCCCCCGTTCACCTCCCCGTCGATCTGCCGGGACCGGGTCTTGTTGCCACCTGGGCCGCAGCTCACCGAGCACGCCGACCAGTCCTCCCAGTCCAGGAACTCACAGTCTTTGGCACACGCCTCCTGCAGAGTTTCAGCCGCCGCACATCACACCAAGTTCGTCTCTTTCTTGAAACATGTCATTAAATTTCGTTGCCATCTCGCCAACAACTCGTTTCTTCGGTCCTCGTTGCAGCCCCTGGAGTCTTGGGGTCTACCCGTGCAGTTTCGGCCCTCCCCCAGCGGGTCGCGGACCACGAAGCGGTAGCGGTTCTGCTCGCCGCCGCCGCAGGGCTTGGAGCAGTTGCCCCACGTTTCCCAGTCGGACCACAGGCAGTCCTCACCGATTTGTGTTTCTTCAAAATATTGACATTTCACCGACCTTGTTGAAATGCTCACGGTCGGCCGAAGTTAAATCAAGAAACAAAGGATGCACACTCACACACCAACCCCAGAGCGTCCTGTGGGCAGGCCTTTTCTGCGCAGGAGCCCATCTCGATGTCCTCACCCTCACATGGGCTCCCTCCGAACTTCTCCTCAGCGATCTTTCCTGGCACCCGCCCTGTTACCACATCTGTAGTCTTTCAGCACATCGCCCCAAGATGGTTTATTGTGTGCTGAATTGAATGGTTTCTGGTCCCGTTGTCAAAGTGCCGACGATTTCCCGGATCCGTGAAAGGGAAAGGGTGCAAATGCGTGGCGGTTGGCCTCGGGTGCGGTTCTTCATGCCGCCGCCGCAGGTGACGCTGCAGCCATCCCACGGCGCCCAGTCACCCCACACGCAATCCTCGAATTCCCAAATCCACCGGTGTCAAAACTGACAAACCCCTATTGGTTGTCATGGGACCTGAGAGGAATCTAGTTGCAGCCAAACAGCCACGGGGCAGTTCTGTGGATTGCAGCCCTCTTTCTCGCCGTCCATCGACTCTGGGCAAGTGTTGCCCTCGCCTGCCACTTCCAGCCCAAGCAAAGTCTCAAAAAAAGTCCCTAATTGGCACATCCAAAGTTCGAACAATATGACAAAAAAGTGTTCAATCTTTTGATTCCTGCCGGACCTTCCGCTTCCACCAGCACCATGCGCGAGCGCGTCTGGCGGCCAGAGCCACAGGTCGCAGTGCAGGGGGACCAAACCTCGCAAAATGTTGGCATCTTGTCCAAGAAATCGGGTTTCCCTCAAAAACTTGCTGGATGTCGGCTAGTCGCCTTTGGAGCCTTTGGAGTACGCGGTTCGGGGCATGGCCATATCCCCCCATGCGCGCACCGGGGCTCGAACCGACCAGGGGGACACCTCGCAGTCGACGCAGGCGTTGGAGCAGTTCACCACGTTGGAGGCGTCCCCACATGCCTGGCCGCCGGCCAAGGGCTCCACCACCACGCCTCGGCTCACGCAAGCGTGTGACGAACCCCATCCGCCTTGAGGCGAAAT